CACCCGTGTATACGCGAGCTCTGCACTTTCGTTTCGAGTGCTCATTTGAGAAGCAATAATAATAATATTTTGGGGATCGCGTAGACGTGCAGAATTCGTGGTCTATGAGAGCTGAAGGAAGCACTCAGGACGTCTCAACTCCCAAGAAGCGTCACCTAGGATTAATGGAGGATACGATAAGCACGAAGGTCGAAGAAGGGGTACCTACCTAGTCAAGGGAAAGGCGGACCTCCTTAGATTGCGGACCGACACGCAATTCGCATCGAAGAATATGCCCCCAACGATCTAGCACGGCCTTCGTTCGCGGCGCAATCGGTGCTGTACGCCACCCTCTCGCGTCTCGTGTCTGAGTCTCTAGCGTTCAGCAGAGAGCGTTAGCGTTGAAGAGGGCAGCACCGATGAGAGTCGCATCAATGCGCAAATCAACGGGCAAGGAAGGGGTCCCATTTCTCGGGTTCTGGGCCGTTTTTCATGGTTTTTCTTCTTTCGTGCATCACTGACCATCTCTTAATTAATTTCCAACGGGCTGTCTTTTCATCGTAAATCCGCTCTTGGAGGCTGAGTGAGCTGAAGACAATTTCCTTTTTTTGCTCATTTTTAGTTTTGCGAAAAGAGGGAAATGTGGGACACTCGCGATGACTTTAGTGACCGGGAAAATCCTATAGTATGCAGCCTTGATTCCCGGCCTTTGCCCTTAATCCAGTCAAAAATTGTAGAATATCCCGAAATTGTGATGTGTCGCATTATTTTCCACGACTTTTCCACAACAGCTTATGATATCATTTCATAATCAACACTATGAATGTTGCCTTGGATATAGGACGGTCCCTTGACTTTGAGTTTTCAGTATCCCAAACAAACACCGAGAGATTTTTTTCAGTCGGTGTAGCGTATATGACGATATCCGGCTTCAATTTGGCGGACGAACAGGGTCTCAATGGATTGAATTACGTATTTACCTCTTTCGATCAGGTTCGGATCCAGTTTTGTGCCAGGCCAATCGCAAAACAACAACCAAAAAGAGTGAATTACAGCAACTAAGCAATTATCGAGGGATCGAGAAAATCAAAAGTGCGAATCGATTCTACATTGTTGCGGTCGGTCTGCTTCCAGATGCTGCTCAGAATGTAAGCACATATTATACATTCTACTGTACTTGATAATTAATAAAGTAGTTACAATAGTATTACACATTGGAAATATTAAATATTACTGTCCCCTTTCAAAAAGGAGAAAGTGTCGGGTGCAGAACAAACACCACAACTGACGACGGCCTCCAAGTAAATCTGGTTAGAAGTTGTTCATAGTGATAGCTGATTTCTGGTAAATGATAGTTGTAATTAGTGACAATCGATAGAATACAACTGCAACAGGCTAATCATTTCATTGGCAGAAAACATTAACATTTTGTGAAGGCCGTCGTCACTTTGTCCGTGCATCCGAAGTCTTCTCATCTTTGTAGGGGTCTCCGGACATCTGTCAACCGTGAGGCTAGGCAATTCAGCGTTTTGTTGTGCTGTCTGGGAGCTCTCACACAAGCGCACTATTACAGAATCTCCGCTTTCTTTACCTCCTTAAAAGGCTTAGTCCCACTACCACAAAGAACGTCTGCTTTTCCTTCTACACTCTCACCCCCTTGACAGAGAGCCTTGTAACCGCTGTTGAACGGGGAGGGGTTAATTTGTTGGCATGAAGGAGCAACACATGCCAATAAAATTAACTATACAAATTGTTCACTCGTCTTTCGATAGATGGAGATAAACGATATGGGCCGAAGCCCGTAACGTTGCCATGGCAGGATTAGTTTCCCAAATGGAGCATCAAAAAGCTAAAATCTGGGCAAAAGCCCGCGATAGTTTCTTTGACTCACAAAACTTGTTTCTTCGAAATTGGTTGCCCATTTAGATGCTTATTCTGTGGTCGTGGGAAATATGAGATCCTGCTACAGTTATTACATTTACATGTTTTGTACATTACTCGAGAAATCGTCAGTTTAGGTAAATGAAACTCCATGGACAATCGGCGAACTACTACATACGCTGGCACAATTTCTTCTTCAGGCCACTCAATTTGCTACCGACAAAGAATTTCAAGTGCAAATTGGTATGTTAATGCCTCAGTTGATGTACGGTGTACATGTTGCGCAAATGATACTCGGAAGCAGAACAGGCTTTATTTGAGAGAACCCAGGAAAGTACGATGTGCAGTGTTTGATTCCCAATAAGAGCAAAATCTTGAGTTCCTGATGAACTCCTCCTTAGAGGTTGCCCGGGACTCTGATCACGATGGATCACGAATATGAAATTCTACTTTCACACCGTTGCCAAAAGGTCCGTTCAGCCCGGCGCGACTTCGCGATTTTTGCATCGAATCGCGAAGACGACATACATTCTGGCGTTCGTTTGGATGAATATGACATGGAGCTCGACATAGTCCCATGGCTTCGCAATTTACGACAACATCGAGACGAATGGAGCCCTCATGTCATACTTATCGAAACATGCCGTGTTACGTTGTAATAATATGTCGTATATGACAAAAATATGTGCCATGTCATTTTCATGATTCGCCAGCGATTGGTCGCAAAGTCTGACACCTGCCTAACATTGGAGCATTTTTTGACATTTTCGGGTTGTAGTTGATAGTTGAGGAGAAATAAAGAGGCAACGGAACGGAGAGGATAACTAGTAAATTTAATGAAATAGTGACAGAAGTAATGAAAAAAAAGAGAAAAAAGAAAAATTATGCAATTCTAACTCTAAGATGTGGACAGAGAGGTCCCAGTTCGTGTAAATTACACATAATACCTATTTATTGGACATTTAGGTATGGACTGTGGTAGCGCATTGTCGTTGGTGGCTGACACTGATCAGCCACGCTATGAACTTTGGGGAGAGACTGTGGAACGGGCTCGAATCCTCATGCAAAGCGCCAGCCACGGTCGCACTCTCGTGTCTGAAGAGATCTTTCTCGCCCTTCGACCACGGAATCTTCATTTCAGTACAAAATCCATGAAGGTAGTAAAATTCTTTCATTCAAAGTGTTATTTCTAGTGAGCCTTTTTGCCATGGAGCTTGTCGGTTTGGTCGGGAAGTGAAGGAGGGGAGGGGGAGGTTGTACAATACAGGGCTGTTTTGTCATGAGATTGATCGATGTATCGATCGGTTGTTGTTTCAGGTGATACAGCATCTGACCGTACATCCTCTGACAGGTAGGGGAGGACCACTCTGCCGGTTGGAAACAGATGCCGAATGAAAAGCAAGCCAGTATAAAGGCTGTTTGGATGGCAGCGCACAACATCGAGGTTAGTGCTTTCTCTTCATCAGTTATTTGTAGTCTGACCTCGCACTCGAAATAGGGTGAAACCCGGGCCAATTATAACTACACTTGATCCATTTACAGATGACGTCCTCAATGGCCTCGTCGTTTTCGTCTGAGTTGCAATCCATTGACGGAGGTGGTGAGACGGACAGTGATATTGGTAAGTCTCTTGTGAACACCAGCGTGAGTTTTTCGTTCGTGCGGGGGAAGGGAGGGGGGAGGAAAGCCAGGCGCAATTTGGGAGCATTCTTGAAGAGCTGTTCAACGTGTCTTGGTAACATGTGCGACTTTTCGAGAGGTTACTGTCATTGATTTCATCCTTGCAGAATGGATAACCCCCGGAAACGGCGCTGATGCACCAGTCCACGTCAGGGTACCATCCTCGTGAACCGGTGATTCCATTGAGGACCAACTATCGAATGTCGGACTATGATCCCTATCGGTAAGTACTATGTAATGCTTTAATAAAAATGTCTATTTCGCACCTTCATTTGAATGACTAGAAGTAAATGGCCTGATTCATTTTCAGGGAACCGTATCAAGCTGATAATGTGTTAGCTCAGCGGTATTCCGACAGTTATAAAGGCGACCACGTTGGTCAATATTCCGACTGGTCCGAGCAGGACAGTCGGGCGCCGAGTCGTGGAAGTCAACGAAGTACGAACTATTTTGAACGTTTCGTTCAGCTTTCTTTAGAGTTTTCACACCAGGAAAACGTCATGTAAATGTGGAGTGCCAGTTAGAATTAGATCTAGATCATCAGTGAAAAAAGGAAAAAGGTGGTTCCGTAGCTCCACCTGGCACGGTGATGTGTGTAGACATGTGACAGTCAGGAAGCTCAGCGCGCAGCAAACGCGCAGACACAGGAGTATTTTTGGCTAGTTTCCTATCTCCAGCTTTTTGAGGCCCTTCACATTTTCACTTACATAGGCTTTCATGGCGAAGAAAATGAAGGATCCAACAAGAAAAAGGCTTATCCGGGAGTTTTCGAAGTAGCCGGTTCCTATCCACAACTCAAACTTGGACGGATGCGAGATTGTCCAGATGTAGAGATTTTAAGCAAGTGCTGGTAGCCTGATGGCCCTTGCCATGCCACCTTTGCACAGATGTGGGCCTCCTGATCGATTTCCAAAATTGATGTTCAATGTTTGAGCGATTGTGGTGTGGGGTTTATGATGAAAAAGGTCCCGAAGAAATTTCTAGAGTTGCTGTGGAATTGAGTGGATGATCAATCATGCGTTTGAAAATATTTATTATCTGCTTAAGATTGGGTTCCATTTTTGAATACTCCTAATTTAGGAAAACAACGTCGTCGTGGAAGTTCGAAATCGT